GCAATTCTACTGTGTGGCCTGCTCACCTCCCACGAGTATCAAGCACTTCATTGTGGGCTCTTTTGTCAAACTCTACCTTCTGAGAAATTACAGCAAATTCCCATGTTCTTTTTCTTCGTATTCCTCACACACAAAATTCTGCCCTAGGTGGCTGAAGGAAGTATTTGCTGCCAAACCACAATCACTGTTTCAAAAGCAAAAGCACTGACTAGAAGTGCAGTTAAAGACCATGACCTTACAGGACTCTTGAACAAAGTCTTGAAAGAAAGTCTGATTGCAACTGCGAAGAAACTCTATATCACTCTGTCCCACAAAGATACAAATGGATCATATAAAACATGTCAGAGACCTCGACACCAGGCATGAAATTAAACCATTGTCCAGTCAAACTTACACTGACCCACCCATTTTCCTCATTCAAATCCAACCTCTCTGTCTCCTGGCTCTGCATTCATAGCCTTTGGTTGCTCCATCACTACCTGAAATCTGACTACATGGCAGCCCCAGGGAAAAGAGCATTTCATTCAGTCCCGTTTTAGGGAAACATATATTTATCAAAGTGTTTCTTTTAGGTGATGTCCATATTCAGGGTGTGGAGAAGAACTTCTCTCCCACCCTGGCAATTATAAGATGTCTTCTGGTGTTTCACACTGAAGCACAGAATCAAAAGTTGAAAGAGACCTTCAAGCTCATCTGGTCCAACCCTCAGCCCAGCACTACCATAATCACCCCTAAACCATATCCCCAAGTGCCACATCCAGAGGCCTCCCAAACACTTCCAGAGAGGGTGACTCCACCACCTCCCTGGTAAAGTTATTCCAGTCCCTGATCACTCTTTCAGAGAAACAAACTAAATCAAGTATCTAATCTGGATCTCCTGTGGTAGAACTTAAGATATTTTTCTGTCCTTCTTTCCCTTAAGATATGGCAGAAGAGACCAACCTCCACCTCACTTATCAACTCCTTTACAGTAGTTGTAGAGAGCAATTAGATAATCCCTGAGCTACATTAAATAACTCCTATTTTCTCAGGAGTACTGAAATATCTGACCTGCTCCTCAGAAGCTTTAACAATTTTGGTTTGTTCACAGGCTTACCAGGCACAAGGAAGCCCAGCTTTACTCCTTGACATGAAGCAAACAAAGAAACAAAAAAAAAAAAGCACAGCAAGAGTGAGAAACCATCAGAAGTATATGAACCACAGAATTATTTAGATCCCAAGCATCCCAAAAAATATAATCCTGCTCATTCCAATAATTTGAATAACTTTAAAATGATATACTGGTCAAAAGCAATCAGCAGCTCAATGAAAAAAACATCTCAAAGGAAACAACACACAGGGGCTCTTTGAAAGCCCTACCACTCATAATGTGTGTTGAACCCAAAACTTGGCCATTTGAGTCCAAACCATGCAATATCAAAAAATAGGATTCCTTCTGACTTCTTTGCAGATTTAAAAGGTTCAACCCTGGGAATCAACAAAACACAGGCCATGTCTCCACCACCACCTCCTCACACACAACACTCCCCTCAAACTCTTCACAGCTCTTCACGTGGCTATCAAGGATCTTCAAAATTGACAGAAAGACCCCACAAAAAGAATCGTTGCTTAGACAATGTTTCCTTACTGTGAATAGGCTTTGACTTCTCACCCTTTGCATGTGACAAGCAAGAGAATTTCTTACAGTGATGTTTGAAAGAAACATGTCTATGAAAGTCCTTCTCTTTCCAGCTGTAAACAGGAAAGGCAACAAATGTAACATGCATGCAAATGTAACAGATTTGATTTTACAAACCCTTTAAGAGACTAAGACCCATTTTGAGATCACCAAAGGAGAAAGGCAGAAAGTTAACTATCACAGAAATTAAGAGTTCAGAACACTCTTTTAGATTATGTAATAAGAGATTATTTCAGCTGATTATTAGGAAGTGAACACACAGCTTGCTTTTCCAAAAGCTCACACACGGCCTTTGTCATACGTACATAATTAAGCTGTGCAGTTATGTAATTATGACAACATGAAAACACAAAGAACGTCACAGGGCTTTCCATACAACTGGAATACATGTCTTCCTGGAAACAGTTTGAGAACGAAAACTTCACAATGCAAGGTATGACGGGTGCATACTAAACCAAAAAACAGGAAAAGCATTCCCTTGTGTCCTTCAACAGATCCTTCAGCACAGCTCCCAAGACTCAAATCCCCGACCCATCACATTATCCAGGATGCTCTTTGACCCATCTAAGTTACAAGGACATGGCACATAAGGCCCAGTTTCCCAGACCATTTCTTTTCAATCCACTGACTTCACTCAGATACCTTTACACTTCTGCATGGAGATACATTTGTCTGCTCACTGATCTTTTGTGAAGAAATCTCAACATTTGGAAGGAAAATAGGAGCAGTGCTCCAGTAAATGTATGCAGATATTCACAATGCATCAATGAGTGTCTGCATAGGGGCAGTCACCCTCTCCTTACATCTCCCTCTGCACCTTGAGTCTCTCCCTTTGCACTCATACAAGGTTCTTGCCATGACATGCATTTTAGAGCCAAGGCACATCTAGCCCCATTTCACATGGTTCAACCTTAAAAGACAAGAAATCAGCAAAACACCCCTGTCGTTTCCTCCTGCACTTCCTTCAGCACATGCAGTCACCCACAACTCTTTCAACATGATCCTTCATCTTCATAACAGGCAGACAGACATCATCAAGGCACCAGTTGTTGCCTGGCCCAACTCCCCTACACAGAACACAAAGAGTAATCATGGATGAATGCAAATACATTTCCTACTGACACTACTATATAAAACAGAGGAACTTAAAGATTGAGAAGAGTGCAAATGATGAGCAGCGAAGTTACTCAGGGAGCTGTCACAGCCTACACAACCTCACCCAAATCAAGTGCATGTGCCTTTGGGAAGAACACAAACTACAATTTCCTAATAAGGAAACACATCCATATAGAAGAGCTAATACTGAAAGGAACACACATGTCACACATCTCAGGGTACAGAAACAATTTGGTGCGTGATGAAACCTCAAAGCCTCGCTCAAACTTCCAGCCACCATCAGCCTCACTACACCCGCCTGCTCAAAAACCTGGAAGACTGAGCAAGGACCCTATGTCCACCTGTCAACAGCCCACAGAGTATCAATGCACGAACCTCTGCCAGCGCTGTCAGTAAACCTTACTACACGGTCTCTTCGCAGAGACAAACTGGCCAGAGGAACTCACCGGGGCAGGGGCGGGATCGGCGGGACTGTCGCTGGCAGGTTCCTCGTCACCGAGCAGCGGGGCGGGCTCGTCGGGAGGCGGGCGGGCCGGGAGGGTGTCGCAGCAGCTGGCGGCCGAGAAGCGCAGGTGGCTCTTGCGCGAGTCGGCCGTGAGAGACACGTCGTGCGAGTAGGAGTGCAGGAAGGCGCGGACGCCGTCGATGCCCACGAAGTGCGTGGCAGGCACGCCG